CGAAACAGACACTTCTGATTTCTCTTTGTTTTATTCTTTCTAAATTTATTTACAACTATTTAAATTTTGTTTATCTATACTATATGATTCACTTAGTGCATTGACTTTGTGTCAAATACTAAAGAGCAACATAATTGAAAACAATTAGCAGTGATTAATATGAGATATTTATTTCATAATTTGAATGTTTATAACATTAGCTTTGTTAAAAAAATTCTATATTTTTAAAAATAGTTATATACGTATATGAATTTCAATGAATATGATAACATCCGAGTTTAAATCCGCATATTACGTATTACAAAAACCAAATACAACAATCCATAGAAGAAAAAAAAATACAACAATTTTCATATTCATACTTCAGTAATCTTAAGTTTTAATCATTACTAATTATGATTAATGATGCTTAGCATATGTTCTTCCATCTATATTTGTTGATGTTAATTTTGTAACTATATATGTTTTAAAAAAATGTTTCCTTTAGAAATGTTAATTTTTTTTTTTTGTGTGTGGTTAAAAAAAAGGTTTATTAGAGAAGATTCAAGGTTAATGTGCTCATTAGGAATTTAGGGATTATAGAAATCATTTATCACAAAATATCACGAGGTAAAAAAGTCTTGATTATTTTTTAGCAAAAAAAAAAAAAAAAGTCTTGATTAAACAACTAAAAGACAAGTTGTATAGCATTTAGTCGTGTGGAATTATGAATGGACTACTTTAAGTAAATAAATGTAAATATTACGTAATAATTAGATATCAGCGATAGGCGTTCTTTAGCGTTATTCTAGGGACATGAACCAAACATCATCGCAAGTCGCAACGTCTTCTTTCTTGTCAACACCAAAACGTTAACATTGTATTTTTTTTATATTTATATTATTCGCAGTTTCGCACAGTCGTTTTCAATTTATATAATTCTATAATCTTTCTGCAATTTATCAAGGTGACAATATTAGGCTTGGTTATAAAAAAATAATATTAGGCAGTAAAGGACCGATCAAAATAATAATAAGTATTTGAGTAAGGTAGAAAGTTTTTGTTTTTTTGGAAAAATGATAGAATAGTTATTTAAGATATAAAAAACTTCAACTAGAAAAGGCAATCGTCGAAGAGAAAGGGGTTGAAGTCGGAAATGATATTATATGGTATATATATATATAGATTTTAGCTCATAACAAATTGTTTAAAACATTATGTATTGGGTCGACTCTAGTACACTACTCCAACTATATCGTTTTTCTGATGTACACTCTAAACCTTTTAGCTCTTTTTTAAACACTATAAACAATTATTTTTTCTATTAAACACCACAAACTATACATTCTCTTCTAATTGCAACATATCGACTCCAAATTGTGATTCAATTTATTAGACCGCTAATTACTTTTATAAAACCACGATTGGTTTAAGTAAACCTAAACCACAAATGTTTTTTATGTTTTTTCTTTTTTTCCGTTAAAAAAAAGGAAAGCAAAAAAACCCACGATTAAAACCCACCCATCTTCTTCTTCTTCCTACCAAAATTCCCCATACATACATTAGTTTTTGGATGAATGAATTATACAAAACCCTAAGATTTGGGGATTGAAAAATGAAGAAAAAGAAGATGGGTGGTTTTTAATCGTGGATATTTTTGCTTTTTTCTGATTTTTTTGTTTTTTACGGCAAAAAGAAGAAAAAATTTTATGGTTTTCGGGTACACTTAAACTAATCGCGGTTTTTTAAACGCAATTACCGATTTAATAAAGCTAATCATAATTTAGAGTCGCTATGTTGCAATTAGAAGAGAATGTATAGTTTGTGGTGTTTAATAGAGAAAAAAATTGTTTATGGTGTTTAAAAGGAGATCAAAAATTTAGGGTGTACACCAAATAAGCGGTATAGTTGGGGTAGTGTACCAGAGTCGACCCTTATGTATTTGAGTATTTTGCTTCAGTAATACATGTAGTTAAAACTACATATTCTAGGATTTCCCATTAGCAACTTAAAAGATCTAATTGCAGAAAGATTTATCAAAAATAAACGTAAAAATCCAATTCATTAGTTCAGTTCTTTCACCAATTTGACACTTTTTCTTATCTTTCTAGAAATTTACATCTATTACCTTTTCTTGTTTTGTTTTTCCATTTGTAGAATAAAGATTACAAGAATTTCAAGCAGATGAGTGGTGGTCAATAACAAATTACAAATATTGAACACAATATTCCACAAATAACTATATTTGTAGCCAAAAAAAAATTAATAGATAGCTAAATATCTTCTGATTTATAAAGGTTTAACAGGCTCTACAGTTTTGTTACTAATCAGATTTTTAAATATATTTTAAAGTTATAGTCACAGTCTACTAAATTTTCTAATGCAAACAAATTATAGTAAAAATCTACAGTAAAAATCCTTACCACCCTTAATTGTTTTACTTTTCTTTGACTTAAATATGAGAGAGCCATAAAATAACACTAAACTATTAGCGTACCAAATCATATCAGAATCCTTTGTATGCATGCCACTTTTCATCTAGTGTACAAATCTCATCCAATATATTTTTTTCCTACAAAGCACTATTCAATCATGGAGGCAAACATACTTTGGGCAGTAAAAAATTACGGTAAAGAAAAGACAACACAAAAAGAATATACCTTTTTTTTGGTCAATAGATGATATTTCATTAGACGAGGAACAAGCAAGTTCCACCAGGTTTAAGAAAAAACCTCCAAAAAATTGAACCTATGAAAGGTTACTAATCTAGACTAACAGTCTAACCCTGTATTCAAAAGAAAACAAGGGACTTTACAAAAGAATAAGGCTCCAAAAACCGAGCTACAAAGAATCCATTCAAACTCCACACGGCACATGATAAGTCATCTCTTCATTAAAAACTCTCCACAACCAACACGGAAAACTGCGGGCTACATAAGATTGCAACCTGCACTCCAAGGTAACACTTTGAGCAATCATATTAGCCCCTCTGTTTGATGAAGAATCCTCCACAATCACTTTCCACTCCTCAAAAGACCTAAGCAAGGACAGAATTTCTCCCGATTGGAATATGAAGGATGGCCAAGCTTGGGGCCTGTTGACAACACCTACAAGAAATCCATCCTCAATCGCAAAAAGAACCTTTCCAACTTTATGACTAACCATACTCTCAACCGCCCACACAAGGCAGAGAAATTGCGCCTCCTTTCTTGATCTGATGTTAATGAATGCCCGACGACTATGCATCAAGACAAATCCCAGCTCGTTTCTTAGAACCCACGAAACTCCAGCCATTAAATTCCTTCTAAACCAAGATAAGCCAATATTACACTTAACCCACATAGTCGGAGGAGGTTTCCAAATTAAGGTTGGGAGTGATCCCTGAACAATTCCATTTGGCTGAAGGACTCTAGAAGGTTCAAGACTCCTCTCAGCCTCAATCTCTTGAACAGCAAACCAATCCTGAACATCCTCTCTAACCTTTTTGATAGTTTCCAATGCAGAGAAGCATTTTCCTTCAAAAAACAAAAAGTTAATATTTTTCCACAAAAAGAATATACCTAACCTCGGCGTTTAAAAAATTTATTCATATATTTTTTTCATTGTGTCTATTTAGTATTTACACCCAACTAAACAATTAAAAAAATACAATTATGGATCGATTTCATTCTCTTATCATCTGAATTATAAATATACAATTAAGGGTTATTTAATCCGAAATTTATCAAATTTAATTATCATATGGAGAATAAGAATAAAATTTAGCGTACAAAGAATTAATTTATCATACTGGAATTAAAAAAAATAGCTAGTGGCTCTTATAGCTTTTAAAATCTTAAGGACATAACGCATGACTTCTCACGATGTCTAAGAAACAAAACCTTTCCCGGTTCGGCCTAAACCGCCAGCCATCCAAATTATTCTCCACCGCTATTCCACGTGTGGCTTCCACACTCTTATTCTATAGTCTGGCTTACTAAAATATCTATCACATCTTCGACGTAAATAATTGACCACGTGAATATATATATCCATAAACTTGACAAACTAACAAAAACTACAACCTCAAAATTTTGACACAACACATCCCTACTCTTTTGGTGTTTCATTATCCGGTTTTGTCCGAATAATTGAACTGGTAAACATGATATCCGTTTGATTATTTGGTTTTGTTAGATTTTAAATTCCCACACTTTTATATTTCGTTTTCTTTTTCCTGTCAATGTTAAAACTTAAAACCCAATTATTTGGCCGGTTCCAGAATCAAGAGCTTTTTATTTTGTTTAGTATACAATAGTAGACTATTTTTTATATCTATATATTTTTTTCTATATGGCTTTTATATTGATTAATTTGTTGTTATTACTTTTTTTAATAAAATTAAGCTTACATATTTGAAGATATGATTTCATATGATAGGGTTGATTCTTTTTTTTTTTTTTTTGTTAAGTTGGGCCGTCAATCTTTTGTCCTCAAAGTCTTTCAAAAACAGTTGTTAGCTAAATTTCTTTTATGATTTACATATGATTCATTTTCTTAAAAATATTATTATTATGTTTTTTACATATGATATATTTTATTCCACTAACAATTGTGATTAAAATAAATTATGCTTGTTGTGGATCTTTTGGCTTTTGTTTCTGGGTTGGCTAACTTGGTTTTTGGCTGTCAAGCATGGTGAAATTTTGAGACATCGTTCTTAGGAAGGTCCAAATAGTTTCCTATGTTAGGTCCAATACCAACTCTTTACAATTGAAATGAATGCCATAGAAGTAGCATCCCATAGAAGCTTTTATACTTGTTGTTAGACAATATAGTTATGTAATTGGGTTTACGATTGTATAGTTGGGCTTAACTTTGGTTTCATATGTTACTTAAATTTTTTTAGATTAAATTGTTTTAACTCATACTTTTAAAATTAAAACAACTTTTTTACACATTAATTCATTAATAGTACTATAAATTAATAAAATATTATCATCCCGATATTATTAATTTATACAGGTTTTCTTGTACTCCCATTGACATTAATAGTTGCGACTAATAATAATAATAATTTGACATAATAGCGATATATGGTAATCTTTCGCTACAAGAAATTTGTTGTTTAACGTCTCAAATTAAGCATTAGGTTTTCGTTTTCGGCTTCTCTAATTGTTTTGAGAATCGTTAATCTCTTGTTTTGATTTCAGTTTTTCTTCTCCATCTATGGAGGAATCGGAGGTTCTCTTCTGCAATAGCTTATCAAAGATTATACAGCATAAATTTCTTTGAATTTGTTGTGTGTTATGACAAACCAATTCGATTCTAACAATGATTTACAAATTTTGTTGAAGGATATGTTCGTCGCAAGAGAAATCTTCTTCTTCTCCTCACTGGCAAATTTTCACCGTCTCGCAGGTTCAAAAACGTGTGCTTCTCAGTTATGGGAATTAGATTGTTATAGTTTCTGTTTAGAGGATTGGGTGATCAAGCCATTAAAACACATTCAAAGCAAAATTTGAGTGATTCTGGTTAGCTTTAGCGATTGAAAACTGCGTTATATGCGGGAACTGGATCTTGAGTTTCTTCTACTTGCTGAATTTATTAAGTTTGCTACGCCTATGTATTAGAGAACTGATTTGTGAATAATTTTTAAGGTAAATTTTTCATCGGTGGTGAAACCAACATTTCAGAGAAAATCTTCTACTGAATCTAAGTTTGCATCGATCTCTATAACAAGTTTCAATACACGAAGTTTAACAAGTGTTTCTCTTTCTCATCTCTGTTGAATTATAGGTGAATTGGTAACAAGAGAATTCATAGGACTATGAGGCTAGATTTGTCCTATTACCAGCTGCACTTGGAGAACTCAAGAATCTTCTTTGTTTGGTACATTCTCAGTGTTTTACTTTTCTCATTTGAGTTTTCATGTAGTTAAACATTAACAGTCTTTTAGGAATTTGTCCTGAGTTTCTATCCAATATCGGGGGACTCACTCTTGTGTATGTCTCTAAGTTCTGCTTTCTATTGTTCCGAAGTTGAACAAGATACATTTGGAGAGTATTTACCAACTTATTTGTGAAACATTCTTAATGTGTAATGACATTTTCGTATAAAACTCTTACCAGTTTGATGCCAAAACTGCCAGCCAGAACTTTCAAGTAAGCTTTACTAGACTTAATCAAGTATCTTTTCAGTGAAATGAAGCTAAGATTCATCATTGTATTTGTCGTCTTAAACCCCTTGTGCGACCTCATTCTGAAACGTTTATCTATGGCTTTCCAGGCTCAAATAAAGACAGTTTGCAAGAACATCATCAAGCATAGTCATAAGTCATCACCTCCACTTACTACTTAATCTCTTAAGGTAAGGTAACTTTGTCCATTTTTATGTTTCATAAGATATTTGGAAGAACCAATTATCTTCATGTTTTCTTATACTTCTAGTCCAAGCTTGGTGAAGATAAATCAAAAGCACAAGCACTCTGGCAAACATGAGTCTCCTATGGGATCAAAAGCATTTACAAGCACTCTGGCAAACATGATTTTAGTAAATGTAAAAAGTACTTTAGTATATAAATAGGAAGCATTGTGATTTGTGGATGCTCTGTTTTTATTTTTTGTTCCTATTTTAAGATTGTTCTGTACGTGTAAAACCATATAATATTTGATTAATGAAAATTCAATTGGATCAACTGTCTATTAATAGTGTTTTAGTGAGCTAGAGTCCAAAAACTAACATTATATTTAATAAAAATATACATATAAACAAAATTTGCATTTAGCGTTGGTTAATTGAGTGACTTAAACATGACGTTAACGTTTAGACGCCAAACTTAACGTCGGTTTCCAAATCGAAGTTAAGTTATTTTGCGTCATACGTTAATACGTCGTTTTAATAACCGATGCAATGTTTTTTGAATCGGTGAATGACCGACGTTAAACTTAGATCTAAAACTGACGTGAATACCCGTGTACGTTGTAGTGTACCAATTATTACACAATATGATTTTAATCATTTATGTTAATCATTATTAATATTTTTGACATATATTTTTAAGGAAAATTTCTACCTTACTCACATACTTATTTTTAAGGAAAAATTTATAAACCCTGTAAAAATGTTAAAACAAAACAATATATGATATGATTATCTCATAAAATCAATGTGAACAAAGAAACAAAATAAAAATAAACAATTCGACTATCTCGCAGTGTGATTCAGGACATATACTCCGAACAAAATGGACAAGAAAAATCATAATGAAATCACATTCGATAAGTAAGGTTTTTTTTCAGTTCACATTAAGTTTGACCAGATATTGTCTTATCCACTTAGGTTACTTCACAAACCTCACTTGACTAAAAGTCAAATACAAAAAACAAACATTAACTAAAATAGTTTTTTAACGATTATATTACAAAAATGCCATTCTTCGGACATAACTAGAAGAAACTTCGAAGAATATCATTTTCATCAATTTGGTTTGCCGGAGGAGTGCCTCGCAGAACACGCAACCACCTTAGCCCATTGTTTCAGCTTCTTCTTCATCGTCTTTCCATCATCATCTTTTAAAAATTGATCGTCAAAACCAAAGTAAGATCAAACAAACAAAGAAAAAAAAAAGAAATACCTTTGTTGACGATAGTCGTGGTGCTAGAGTTGCTGACGTCACTTTCCGACGCAGACGATGAGGTCCGGGGCAAATAGTTGCTGTACTGTCTTTGAATGGTGCTGTATAAATCCAAAGCTGGGATTGTTTTGGAGAGTCTTGGATTAAAGTCAGGAGAATCTGGCTCAAACCCAAACCCTAGGTCGAAGCAGCCTTTGAGCTCCTCGATATCGTCGCTTGTGAAGCAGCTCTTGCTGCGACGAAGACGATCTGATGGATGCCTCTTCTTCATCCGCAGCCAAGCCTCTTCGCGGTTTACGTCTAGTGGCAAAGACTGTTGCTTCATCAGAGGTTTTGGCGGCTGTGGCTTGTTGTGGTTCGACATTTGTAGTAGGCTATTAGCTAGGTTTTTCTTGTTGCCTTTTGAATGTGTAAGAAACACTTCATATATAGTAATAAGACATGGACATTAAGACTATACAAAACACGTGAACTACACAGTAATTATATAAGACACTAAGAGCATGATTATTGGTAGTATCTTAGAAATAAATCTTAGGAATATTTAAGTAATATATTTGTAAAAGTGATAGTTAAGATATAGTATTTTTGGGTTAAGATTTTTGTGTGATTAATGGTAGGTTCTTAACATGTGGTTCTTAGAAAAAAAAATATTAATACAAAAATAAAATTTATAATTATAGAAAATTTAATAATTGTTGCAAACTAAAAAAATTAAAACATACATGAGATACAATTTATAACATAAATAACACACAAATATTTTAAACTTAATTTCAATTGTAGATGCATACCTCGATCACGAATTCGAGTTCTAGTGGCCATCGTATCGAAGAAATTTGAAGGCATATCTGTAGAATATGTGAAATCCACCCGTGAGATAGTAACATCAGACATTTGCAGCCATAAAACCATCTATAGCAAACCCCAAAGCAGCATATTTCATCCTAACTTCTCAATTTCGGATTTAGAAATCTAAACCAGCCATTATGACACATGTTCTGTCTCCAAAAGCTATATAGAAACCTTACCCGTGTAGTAAAATCAAAATCATTA